AGAAAACATTGGATGTACTGGAGGGGAAAACACAATCACATCTTATAAAGATCCTGCACAGGTTGAAGTTATTGCAGAGAGTCAAGTGACGATTATGATTCGGTATATGAGTCTAGTTGCAGGAAATAACGAGGCAATATCAGGAATATATGCAGAAATTAATAGAGTATCTGATATAGGATAGAGCCTCTGCAAGATATTGGCAGAATATTCTCAAAGGTAGTTACAAAATTTGAGGGTCAAGGAAATGGTAACATTCCAGCAGAGCATTCTGCTATTGATCTTGATTTTTATGCTACTGTTGAAGAACTGATGGAAGTAGGGCCTGAGAGGTTAAAGGAGGCATTGGCTGCACTAGGTTTGAAGACAGGTGGTACCCTTCAACAGCGTGCAGAGAGGCTTTTTCTTACAAAGCATATACCTCTTGAGAAGTTAAATAGGAAACATTTTGCCAAAGGCCCTCATGGTCCGTAACAAAATGATAATGCTCTAACCCCACAACCAAGTGCAGATGTGAAAGAGATTGCCGAGGAAATGGAAGCAGAACGTGATGAGGAAGAGGTACAAGATTTATTGAACTGCTTGATTCCTTGATGGAAGGTGCAGAGAGCAGCTGCTGGAGCTTTACAAAACTATGTTGTTGGTATTGAGCTGAAGAAGAAGTCCTGTAGATTGAAATTCCAATTGTATCAAATCAGCGAATGATCTGAAGCCAAAGTTATCTTCAGATGCATCAGCTTTGATACCAGTAAAACGCTGAAAAATGAAGGCAGCAGTAGGAAGCAATTAAGCTCTGATAACATGTCAGAATTCATTGAATGAAATGAAAGAAATGCTTCATCATTGAAGCAAGAAAGAAAGCTTCATCATTGAAACATGATACACTCCATGAAAGGAGGAAAACAAACCTCCATGAAAGGAGGGATTGGAATACAATCCAATGATTTTTCAATGCATACAATGACACTATTTGTAGAGAAAATGATTGAGTAATTAACTAACTTTCTAACTAATCAACTGACTAACCTAACTAACTAACTACTAACTAACATAACAATTGGAGACAGCTGGACACACGTTGGAAGCAACTGGAAATTGAAGGAATCTGTGGAATCTGGTGAGCTGCTGGAATGTATAATCTAACAGTTACACTATGGAATTATATTTTGATGATTTGTTCAATTTATTTGGATATCAAATCATCAATGTTTATTTGGATATTTTTACCCTTAAAACACAAATTTAAGCTGTAACTGCTTTAGGAAAAGATTCTACTCTACTAGATTTTTATATGATTTTATCATTCTTTTGATTTTTGAGCTATAAAACTGACGAAGAACATGCCTTTAGTATTGGTGGTGAATCTGTGAAGTGTATAAACTAAAAACAGATCGTTCGGTGACCAAGTCTCCCTTCAGCTGTTGAATGGGGACCTTGGGTTCAATTTCTTCGAATTCCCTAGAAAAACGCCATTTTCAAGCAGCTACATATTTGTGCTAATGTATAACTCAGCAACATCATTTCATATGCCTCCCAAAGGCTAAAGATTTGGCTGTTATAAGATTGTTTTGTTATGAAAAGTTGTTCGATTAACATGATGGCTTTCACCTGCTTATTTTTGTCTTTGCTGCCCATGCGAAGCTATTTCCGCTACAATTTCATTATTACCAAACATAATACCAATATATCTTGTTTATATTTTCAGGATTAATTTGACATTCTGGGATGAGATGGCACACATTGCTTCTGAGCATGTAGAGAAAGGTCAACAAATATATGTATCTGGTCGCCTAGTCTCAGATACTGTTAAAAATGAAGACGAGAGCCAGCAGACCTATTATAAGGTTTCTGGCCTCTCTAATTTATCATTCCTGGAGATCTCGGGGAATTATTTTCTAACTTTGTATTGGTACAATCTGCTATTATTTTTGGCAGGTAGTAGTTCAGCAACTAAATTTTGTAGAAAGGGGCCCCTCCCCAGTTTCACTGTACAATGGTGACTCCAATTCCCCAACACCAGGCAATTATTGTCTCCTACCCTCTTGTCTTCGCATGTTTTGGTCTCATTTGCTAGTATGCATCTCAAAAATTTCTGTGTAACCTTGCACTTGCAGGTAGAAAGCAAAACAATTATGCTGCAAATACTACAGGTTCCACAGAGGAACTATGGCAAGCTTTCTTTGCTAATCCATTAGAATGGTGGGATAACAGGAAAAACAAGGTAATCTCTTTATTTCATGCTTAAAAGGATATAGACGTTATTTTTTTAGTGCAACTCTTTATGGTGGCATTTACTTCTTGCTCAAAACCTTCGTACAACTTGATTAGCTCTGTCCCTGTGCAGAAGAGAATTAGCATGACATATCACACTTTTGTCCTTATCCTGTGTTTTAGATTCACACCCATGGGAAGTCCAATTACTGGATGTGAAGGATAAATTATGCAGTCAACCTCGGAAGAAAATGGTGTAGGGTGATGCCAACTATAATAAAATGAATTTATATTTAGGTATTGCTAGTAATTAGGAGTCCCTTATCTTTCTTAGGGCCTGTTTGATTGGTTAGATTTTCCATGGAAAATTTTCCACCTTTTGTCCTGTTTGATAGGAATAATTTTCCAAGCAATTTGTTTTCCTTATTTTCCTCACACGTGTGCATTTTCCTTGGTTTGGTGGAAAACCAATCCCCCCCACCCCCACCTCCCCCATTGGCAATTGGAACAAATTTTATTCTCAATTATAACAAATTTTGTTCCTTTAATTAATAATTTTTATGATAAACAAAGCCAAACTAACATCAAAAAATATAAAATTTCAACATTTTCCACCTGGAAAATTGTACCAATTAAACACATTTAATTGACAATTTCCAGGAAAACAAGTTCTAGACAATTCAACTCCCTTGAATTCGTTTTCTTTCTACCCAAATTCTATTCTTGCAATCAAACGGACCCTTAATTCTTTTATTATTACTAGTTTTATGATTAGTTTTTCTTGTTTTGGTAGTTATCATGATTGTAGTAATATAGGATTACTCTATGGTTATTGCCTATATGCCTATATAAGAAGAGTGATATCCATGTTTTCTAATTAGTAAATTCAACACATTCAATTAGTTTAATCAGCTGTTCAAAAAAAAAAAAAAGAAAGAAAGAAAAGAAAGAAAAGAAAAGAAAAAGAAAAAGAAAAAGGAAAGAAAAGAAAAACAGTTCCATCAAGATTCTTGAACTTTTCTCTTGTATCTTTAGAGTCGTAAATATGCTGCCACACCCAATTAGTACCAAATCATGGATCTAACAGGAGCTGGTGGTTAATGCTGGTGATAACGGTGAGGATCTTAATGACAATAGAAGCATTGAAGAACGAGAAAAACTTGTGCCAGAAAATGGAGGAGAGGTTTACTGGAATAAATACACAATCAAAACATTTGGATAGGCTTTGATTGTGATGAATTTTGGTGTTGGCGCAGCGTGGGCAGAGCACAAAAACTGGTCACTGCAGATTTGACTCAAGGTCCAACTTTGTTTAACGACCAACAACTTGATATCTCGGTTCAATATGATGACCTAGTCAAACCCAACTACTGAATCACTTGATATAAAAGCTTAGGCCGTTAAATCGAGCCAAATGTATATAATTTAATTATTATCTTCAACACATCCCCTCATAGTTGAAAATGAGACTTGAACCAGGACATTTACCCGCTCTTGCACCATATTATACCATACTGAACTATTTAATCTAAAAGCTTAAGCTGTTAGATTGACCCAACTGTAAACTATTATCTTCAACAACAACAACTCTCTCCTTGAATGTGATGTCCCACCTGAATGCAACAATCAGCTTTGGTTTGATGGCCCATTCAAGCACGATAACACAATTTAGCACAACAAAATCCTAGTAGGGGTAGTGCTAGCAATGATACAACGATAATGACCACCAATGTCTCCAAGATCAAAATTATTCATACGTATTCAGAATATTCCAAGAAGATTGTATACCATCTCTCTCCATCTCGAGAATGACCTATAGTGGAACAACACTATAGATAGAAGAATGTTTCCCAAGCTACCTAAGTCTCAAATAAGGAACGAAAACCAGGTTTTCTGAACAACCATAGTGATTTGCAATCATACAACCAACAGTAAGCCAGAATCACCTATAACCCTATGCACAAGGGAGTCTTGAAAAATGATTTAGGTGTCCTCAGAGGAGATATGTGAACTCTGTAAAAGATGAATGGTATATTAGCCATGTACAGACAAATGGTGAAGTAGATTATGAAGGAGCCAAATTTACTCAAGGGGATGAAGAGGAGTTTGTTACTTGCATTTTGCGACTGCATTTAGCACCCAAGAGGGATAACGATTAGAAACTTCACGAGATTTTTGAATGCAGCATCGACAACAAAATATACAAAGTATATACAGAGGGATTAGTGAGAATGCGGTATCTAAGTCACGAGAAAAAGCTTTTATGAAGACGAAAAACAACCTTCTCAATAAAGGATCTCGTGGGATAAAAAGGATTAGAGGTCCAGATAATGGAGGTATGGAGAATCTCACTTTCTATTGGAAAGTACTCTAAATTTGAGATCATGTACAATGAGTAGAAATGGATGCTTGCCACGTACTTTTGGGGTGACTGTGGCACTAAGATGTAGACATAACTTGCAAGGACAGACACAACACTTGGATGTTTTGGCGGTATGGCAAACAAGATAGTTTTGATTCCTCTAAAAATAAATGGAGGTTATCGATGTTCAACGAGTACATCAAGAGGTGCTAATCTGAAGTCTAAAGTTAAAGCTGAAAAATACTGCAGCAAAAGGTCTTTTAACATATGTGATCTGGTGATTAATATTTGAAGAATGTCATTTCCAAGCATGCAATTATGACAAAGATAAAAGAGAGATTAGGTCATTCAGAGTTTTGAAGTTCCTAAATTATAATGCATTTTGATTTATTTCTTGAAGGGGGGGCATAGTAGTTTCTTCTACGCTAAATGTTTGCAGATATTTTATGTCTTTTTTCCTGAAAATTTTTCCATTTTGCTAGTCAGTAGGACTCTTTACCATTACTTTTCTTATATTCCTCATTATTAGGATTATTGTTACTCATTTTTCTGACTGTTAGGATTTTATTACTATTATGATTTCTCAATTCAAACCAAGATTCTTGAGCTTTTCTTTCTCTCTCCAAAATCTGAATCCCACTGTTGCACAGAGGTTAAGTCTAGTACCATGTACTTTTTTTAAATTATTCATTTGTGTTTGGAATTCCTTTCATTTGTTTTCAACCATTAAGTTATGTGAAATTTGCATTCAGTTATGTATTTATGATTGCAGAGGAGCCCAAACTACCCAGACTTCAAGCACAAAGATACCGGCGAAGCATTGTGGGTTGAAAGCAGGTATAATCCACCTTGGGTGAAATCACAGCTTGCTATACTGGATTCAAGGATGGAATCGATTCATGATCAAAGTTCTAGCATGCATGTGAACTTCATGTCTACTGATAGTCTTGGGCCTTATTAGCTGCTTATCGTGCCCCAAGCCCCCACGTACTTATTACTTTTTGTTCATAATTTCCCCTGAAATTGTACTTCGGTATAGTTTTGAATTTTTGGGATATATTTTGACTGCTTGAATCTGTATGCTTTTATTGTTGAACCATCTTATCTAATAGTTTAAATAGTTAGAGTGAAGATATACTTATTTAAATTACATCTTTTATTGTGTTATCTCGTTTCCATCAAGGGCCTCTGCTTTGCTCTGATACATGTTGAAGCATTTCATCTCAGAGCTTAAACCACAGAGAAGACAAATTAGATAATTTAAAATGTCTCCCACCTACAGCATAATTTATTCTTGACATCATAAAAGTAATTAATTATTGGTAATTTATAGAAACTAATGTGCGATTGCACTTTTCAATCAACATTCTTTCTCCTAGCATCTTTTTGGTCCATGACGCCAGCAAATGTAATCAGCATAATGTATCCAAACGGAAAAGTAAAATGAGAGTCAAACAATTGAAAAAAAAGATATGTATTGAAGGAAGGAAAGTAAGAAAAATGAGATTCAATTTTGTGAACTTGACCAATTAGCATTCACTTGGGATCACTAAAATCTACCTTAGATCAAATACTGTAGGTCTTTGCTTTAGCAAAACCAATTCAATTGCAGCCACAGATGATGGTCTTGTATCCTGGATTAATCTTTGATTTTGAAGGAAACTACTTCTAAGAACCGCCTGAAATAGAAATATAGAATTAGTGAAGGTAAATAAACAATATTAAATTTCAGAGAAACTTACAAGCAACCAATTGCATAACACTACCTGATGCAGTAATACGACAATAGGAGAATTGCAAGTTTGAGTATCATCTTCAGGTAAATATTTTACCTTTATAAGCATTTTGCAATTTGGTTAAACATAACCCTTCAATCACAACAAATGTTTGTGAAAGAAAATTATTTCACAAAAAATTTATCCTCCAATAAATTAGAAGGAATTATGACATAATGGCAGCTCCAAATAGAGAAGGAAGAAAGTTTACGATTGAGCGGATAAAAAGGATGCAATGCTCTTAGTGGAGACATTTGGGCCAATGTTCTCCAAGTACAGTAATGAATTAGAATGACAGCTACATGAACACTAACATATAATATGAGATAGATTGAGATAATCAGAGAGGAATAAGTCAATGAAGATTAACAAAATTAGCTTTCTATTTGTTTCCACATCCATATAATGAGTTAGTGTTTCCTTGAGTTTATACATTGTTATTAGACCGTGACTATTCTACAAAGACAAGTTATAATTGCACTCTCTTTTATAAGAACCAGCTGTTTGCATATATATTTTATAGTTGGTCCCAAGCCCCCTCGGGAAAGTAAGAGGATCCGCTGTAGGTTGACAGCTTGTGTAACACTTTACGACCTAGAAAAATGGATCTCACGCTTAATTGAATTTAACAAAAAAATCATTAATGGTAATCACCTAAATGGAATTACGATGAGCAAATTCTGTAACTTTCTTCCACTTAGACAACTTCAATAGTTCTATTTTCCTTTCAATCTAAGACCTCTGCAAAAGATCAAGAAGAGTTTGTCTGCCACATAATCTTCAATTAAGCCTTCGTGCACCTAGATTGGCTACCAATTCATAATCTGTAAACCAACTTCACCAACTGCATCTATATGTGAGTGATAACTGCTTCTCTGTTGGATATTCATCTGAACCCACTCTCTAGCAGTTCTCACCCTTTCACACTAATTCTCACCAAGCCATTGTGGCTTGGACATGCTATGCAGACCATTAGATGTATGACTCTTAACACCACCTTTCATCCATTTATGAAAAATTTGATTCATTCTTTCACACTTAGCTTCTTCCAAATCAGTAGATTGTTCCGTAATAGCACTGTTACTATCCTCTTGCTCATTCTCTGATCTTATCCGACCTTGATTCTTAATCTCGCTGGTAGCTTCAAAAGTATCATTCCATTATCACTCCCTTGCCTATCCAACGTGAAAGTACCTGATGGGATCTTGAGCTTTAACGACTTTGACCTATTCCTTGTAAAAAGCTCTCTCTAAGTGATCTACATTAAATTTAGGAAATGTTAGAAAATGAAGAGCATAGAGAAAATCCAAGGGGATTAGAGAATTACTTATACAAAAAAAAATGATATATGATATAAATTTGCTATCATATCTTGTTTGTTACCCAACACAGTGGATTTTTCACTGATTCTCTCATTTCCAACAAAACATTCATTTTTTAATTCATCCTCCTCTTTTGAGCTTAAAAAAGTAGATGAAGTCAGGGGGCATAACAAAATAGAAAATTTCAACAAAAAACCTACCCAATAGGAAATGAAAATATTTCATTATAAAATTCAAATCAGAGCTATCAAGAAAGATAAATGCATAAAATTTCAATGATCTTACCTTGAATTGCAAATTACTGTTAATTGCATCACTTACAAGCTCCCAATTGAAACCCAAATCAAGTACCAGAATAATAAGTGCCTAAAAGATCAATATCAACATTGATGTGATCATGTCTCTAGATGTTAAAAAATAAAAAAACATATCCCAATTTTTAAGTGCCAGTAGATGTATGTGTATGTGTGTATATCTGTGCTATGTACATGTATGTATGTAGACTGACCTGGTCCTCAAAAACCATGTAGATAAATGAGATTATGAAATACATGAATTTCTGCAAATTTCTCTACATTGGGAAATTTTGTGTAGTCAATTTCTTGGAAAAAAATATGATTAGTGTAAAGAAGGAGAAATAAGATCATATATCTAAAAATAAACCAAATTAAAGAAATTAATTCAATTAAAAAAAGAATTCTATTGTCACCTCTGTAAATCATAATCAAGAGGTAGATGATGAAGATGAGATATCTCTATTTTCCAAAGAAAGAATTTCCTTGTAAACAATATTTTTTGTACGTGTTGTGTAAACTGTTTGTATTTAATGGTTCCATTAGAACTTTTATAAATTTGCTTGCTTTTGCTCTTAATAATGCTACATAAAGCTGACTATGACAAAAAACTGGTTCTAGAAGGTACAATCCAACAAAATCAAGTGTTTAACCTTGTACTTTATTTATTGTCATTGCAAAACATGGTCATATTAAAAATTGAGTCCTTCTGAATGGAATTGAGTTTCAATCATTTTTCAGAGGTATAAAAGGAATCCTTGGTAAGAAGATATACTTTTCACAATATTCGCTAGATGTAATTTCAGCAAGAATTACGTTCTTTTCAAATTTACGACAACTAAGACGTGTCCCATTACATAACCCCTCAAAAGGATTGATATTTCGTAATAACATCACAAGACCATTTACTTTAAGTTTCAATTTATATAATGGAATACCTTTTGAAGTCAAGCTATTTAAAAAATCTTCCTATAGACTCTGTTTTGATTTATCAATTACTTCATCAAAACTATAATATGTATAAAGTTGACCAGGAATTTGTTCGAGTAAAATTCTATTAATATGATCAACAAATTTATTTGTAGGCGTAAGAATTACTCTAGTTGCCATCGTATCTAGATTATGAGCATATGCATATATATTCGAGAAAACATGATGTATTAATTCCTTCAGAGATGTGTGCTTCACTAAACTTTTATAATGTGGTAGTTTAAAAAACATAAAGAAGATATTTAAAACATAACTACAATATAAAGTATGTGTTTTACTTAAGAATCCCTTAAATAAATGAAATTGTTATATAAAATATTAACTTATTTTCAAAAAAAATTACCTATAGGATAAGAAAATTGTAATAAAACCAAACAAAAACCTTAAGACAAGAACTATCAGAGTTTGAGAATAAGATGCTAATTACTCAAACTCCAACATAGAAATTCAGTTACGCTTTCAAGAGGCTGCATTGGAAGACAATAAAATTTTTACTATATCAGTTTGTTTATATAACTCAATTTCATGTATTTATTCATAATCTCTCTTCAATTAAAACTAATATAATCAACATAAAAAAAAAAAAAACAACAACAACAACAATAGAGGAGTTGCTGGAGTAGTCAAAGTCAAAAGTCATTGATCAAAATTTTAAAATGAATATCATTTTACCAATAAAGCAACTCAAACAAATTTCTAAGAATTTCTTTATTTTGAAGCTCAGGATGCTCATATTTAACAAATCATTCTTCATATTGTTAAATAAACTAACTAGTCCAACATACTCACCATAGATTGACTTTCAAAACCAAACAAATCAAACTTTGATCTAGTCATTACAGAGTTCAATCGAGTAATAATTCATTATTTCTACAACTGCCAATGCCTAAAATTCCTATACACTCCAATACCTTAAAATCTTGCAAACCCATTGCTATATATACTACCTCTAAGCACAATTAATCCACTTTCTTTCATGAATTAAGCCATTAAGATAAATCATAACCAACTAATCATTTGAAACCTCCAAAAACAAAGAAAGTAAGAATAAAAAATATCAAGGTAGAGGAAACCAGACCAAGATTCTATAAAACTAAAAAGCCAGTAACAGAATCAAAATTAGTTATGTTAAATTAGCATGAATCCAGGCAAGATAAACTTGTTGAATAACCTACAAACCAACATAGAATTCTTTTCACAGTTTGTCAAATTAATATCCCACTTAAGAGGTAATACGAAATCATAACATTTGTAGAGCGTCATTATGGAATCAAATGCACTTAAAGATATTAACCAACAGAATACTCAGGTTGCATTTAATGGCAGACAATTGAGGCACCATTGGATTTGTAAAGAATCAATTCAAAATTGAATGGAAATATTTCCAAATATGGTTAACCATAGCTTAAAGAAAGATTCTCACCTGCATAGAGAAGTTAAAAGTCATGTAAATCGCAGGCTTGAGATCATAGTAAGCTGCACTAACTCCAATTCCAATAAATCTGGCATGCAATATATAAATTGGTTGAGTATGGAAATTATTACAAAGACAACAAAAACAATTCAAAAGTTTTAAGGCAAAGAGAAACCTCAATATTAGGAGTTTCCAAAACTCCGTCGGGACCATACTTCTTCAGAAGTCCTTTGAAAATTAAAGTAAAATAAAGTAAAAATAAAATACTAATTACTGAAAAAATAAAAATAAGATTAAGAAAAGTCTTGTTATTTAAGTAGTTGAGGTGCTATTGAACGAGTAACACTCACCAA